TAACAGATTGATTCATAGATGAAGAGGACAATGACAGAGAAAATCAATACTTTGAAGATACGGTGCCGTTTGACGATGACGATGGCGCCACATTGGGAACCAAGGTGGTGAACTTTGCTGAGGAAATTGAGGTGTTGGATTTGGCTGGTGAAACTCAGATATTGGATGATTTTGATACACATATACTGGAAGAAGGTACGAATCTGAGGGAACTTTAGTTTTGGAGAATTCAGATGATGAAGTGTGTGTTGATGATACTCCATGCAGAGACAGTGGTCTAGATAACAAGGTGGTTTCGAATCAACTGATTAGTGAGAGCGGGTCTGACAAGAAGCAAATTGTTTCTGGTAATTGATTTCTTTACCATCTGGTAATTTGTTTGGTTGTATATGAATTAAGTGTATAAGGACTTTTAGTTAGGGTCAGTGATGTCATTAATCTAACCGATGGATGTGAAATCGATGAATATGAAGATGTGAAATGTGATTTATTTACAAATGGTGAAATGATTTGTAAAAGAAAATTACTTGAAGGCTTAACTTATCTGGAGTACTATAGTGGACGCTGATAGGAAGGTAGTTATAGTACCAGCATTACATGTGTTAATGTATAAGTTTTGTCCTTTTTTTTAATTGGGTATGCCATTTTTGCATCACTTTCTTTCTATGGTAGTTTATTTCTCGGTATTGTGGGATTATCTCCACTTTCACGGATTAAATGCAATGTAAAGTTAATTATTATGTGGTTTCTTTTCACGTGAATATTATTTTGATTTCACTAGAAAAATCTACGTTTCTTTCAGGTTCAGTGCCACCATGGTTTACCTTTATACATGCAGAGTATTTGAATTTGAAACATACCCACGACCAGTCCAATTTTGTCACGGGTATAAATAAAAGAGAATCATTTCTTGGATCTCTTGATAAGATTGGGGAAGTTGATTAGCAACGCAATCATGGGAAACACAATGTGGAAATTGAGGGATTTGAGAATGGAAGTATGTCTAACTTTGCTAGAACAACTGTAACAATGATTTCAATGAAGGAGATAGCTTGGACAAGTCTCCCGAATACCATGGAGAATTTGGTATGAATTAATTGTATTTTGTATAACATAAATAATCAGTGAATAGTTATATTAATACCTGATGGGGGCTTTTAATGCAATTGTTAGAGTTGTTATCATCTGCGTCACAAGTTCCAATCATGGAATCAGCCTGCTGCAAATGCTAAGAAAGGTTGCCCGCCTATAGACTTGTATTGGGACTGCCCCTTCAATGGAAACTGCTATGGTGGGACTGGGGTTGCTCTTTTTAATAGTGTTTATTACTTCATGTGTATATTTGAGTTTTTGCCTTGCCAAATTACTATTACGAAATGTGTAAATATTTTTTTGTTTGCCTGACTTGTTGATATCACATTTATTAGAATGTTGTGATTATTTTTGTAAATAAGCTGTAAGTATTTGCCTTATTATTTCCTAAAATTTGGTGCAGTGATTCTTTATATACTGATAATGGTAGACAGTCATTAGAAACAGGTGTCTCCATGTCAGATACTTCCCAAGTGTCTCCAGCACCTCTACTTTGGTCGGTAGGAGCGAGCAAAGGGCATCTTTCAATGGCAGACATTGAAAGAATGGGCACAACATCTCAAGATGTTCTTGCACATGACAATTGTAATTCTGTGGATATCACTAAATTGATGCTTACCAGTTCAACAATCGTCTTCTCTGATGCAACTGTTGGTGTGTTTTAGTGGTGAATCCTTGACAGTCCAATCTCCAGGAAAGCAAACTCGCAGTTTCTGTTATGTGTCTGACCTGGTAATATGTCCCATTCAACTTTTGTTTTGTTTTTCAAATGACAACCACTTATGTGTTTCACAGTTGGAGCTTGAGCAGAAAGCTAAAACTCTGCACAAAGATATCATGAAGAATGTAAGTTGGATATTAATATTATTGTGTTGTGTAATAAATCCATTTTTTTCCTATTGTTAACATAGAGCTGAATGTAATTTAAAGTGAAGTTACTAGGAATCTAGCATGTTCATGGGTTATTCATCAAGCGCAAAATCTCACTTACTATTTTCCAGCATTCAAAAAACTTACTAACAGGTCATTTATCTAATGACTTATTAACATTGAACATTTCTGATTCCTTTAGAATATAAAAGAACCTCTGATATATCATTTTTTGTTACTGATATTTGTTTTTATATGGCAGTGGATGTGGATCTCAAGAGAGATAGAAGTGTTGCGATATCATATTGATCTGGCCAATGAAAAGGGATAGAAGGGAGAATATCCTTTCATCAGATAGAGTACTAAAAGCAATTAAGTGAGAACATAAACACAATTCAGAGCATCAATGAGGATCATTGGATTATTGGAAGTTTGAGAGGTACGATTTCATCATTGTACGATTACTTCGTATGTTCACTCTTTCTTGTCTTCCGGGTGCTCTTCGGGGCCAGCCCTTAGAAACTACCTACGGGCAATACAAACGAGATCACCATAACTAATGACGAAGCAAGGTTGTCTCTATATGAAATTATGCTTTAGTAATTTTCGGGAAAAAAATCCTTAGGTTGCTTAACCTTGAGCAGCTGAGTATATATGAACTGAGATTTTTCTTTTGAATTGTTTTTATCTTTCATGTTCTTAATGGTAGCTCTATAATCTACAGGTGATCAGGATTCCATCCACTATATGTTTAGGGAAGCGCTAAAAGCGGTTTTTGATATGGACTTCGGCGACGTCGACTTTTCTGTAAGTAGTGTTGCTCAATCGTTAGTCTAATAAGACATTTATTTTCTGGTACGTTTTGATACTTAAGTTCACTTTCTATGCAGAAGTTGAACATGGGAGGGGGTGACGACAGCTTGGGTTTTGATACTGCAAGCGATGATGATGGCAAGCGCGACACATCTGATTTTTTTGAACTTTTTTATGGCTTAAATTTTCCTTTTCTTAGTTTACTTTGCCATGACTGTATTTGACTTCGGTGTATTTGAACTGTTTCCCTTATCAGATGATGAGAGTGATTCAGAAGAGGAAGATACAAAGGAAGCATCTTCTGGCATTGCGCTAGATGCAAAAGACACTGTAAACAGCAATGCAAACGAAGCACCTGACACGAAAGCATGAACTTTTTTAGATAGCTCTGACTGTAACTTTTTTAGCATAAGCTTTGAACCATGATGTCTAAACAAGTAACACCAAAGATTAGATTGAAATTTTATGGTATACCTTGGTAAATATAGTATGTAAAAGAGAACTTACACGTTGGCACTGTAATCATAGGATAATGCTTCAGCTTCAAACCCTATGGTACATTAGGACTTTACATGGTATACAGAGTAGGAGCAATAAAATGGACAAACAATACAGATCCTCCATAGATTAAGAGATCCAAAATTCATACCAATCTTGAAATCCATTTGGTATGGTCCATAATCCGTAATCCATGTCTCATGAATTGTAGATTTAGTGTGTAATATGGTAGGGTTGTCCACACCATTAATATATTTAAGTGATAATTTGTGTAATCCTACTTTAAATTTTCCATGATAACTCATTCAGCTTCTATATTTAAAATATGTTAAAGGCAACGTTGTTACACCAGTTTATAGCAGACAACTTAAACATGTAGAGTAAGTATGTGTATAAATAAATTATAGCAGGCAGTTTAAACATGTGTATAAATAAATTATAGCAGGCAGTTTAAACATGTAGAGTAAATATGTGTATAAATAAAAAAGGTGCAAACTTCAATATTTTATGAACTTATATTTAGAGAATTTCTTACCCCACCTTATGGCTAAAACAAACATCTTATGCAATTTCGAAAATACTCTCTCAAAAACTAGAAATATATTTTCGGTACGCATCATATTTTTCACAAAACATGTCAAATATGGTTTCACTTTTCAAAAGGAAAAAAACAGAACAAAAAATGCACTTCTGGTATAAATCCATAAATGTATTTCCGGTTTCTAATAAAGAATATATAATGTGAAAAAGTAACATGACCCACTTAGGTGAACGTGTATTCTTTATTAGAAATCGAAAATGTGTTTTCGGTTGTATGTAAATGCAACTTAAAAAAGGTGCGCACCGGAAGTATATTTTCGATTTTGAGGGGTATTTATGAAATTTCACGTAGTGCGTAAGAAATTAATGGGGTGGATTAAGAAATTTGTTAGACGGTGTAGCAAGTGACCGAGAGGGGGGTGAATAGATCATCTCCCTTTTTTTATAAAAAAATTAAAATCTTTTTTCAAAGTTTGTTAAAAGCAGCGGAAAAGTAAGGTTCATAATCAACTTCCGTCTATTTTGAACCAACTACTAGAAAACCAAACATGCGATAAATTTGTTGGATTTTATTAGTATTAAATAGATGAATCTTAAACACAGATTACTTAACGTTTTCAATGTACTTATTACAAGAACAATATTTTCAATGAATTAAAACTTGTAAGCAATTTTGTCAAACGGTTGGCGTATGCTTGTTTGATGATTAATAATGGTGATTTGATGAAAGTATTTGAATCACTATTTTATCATTAAACAGAAAAGTCAGCAAGTCAATTGAATCACAAAATTGCAGAAAATTTAAAGAGATAGAGAGATTGAAAAAAATAATATGCAGGCAATTTGATAAGGAAGTTTTCCACTGTCATCCTCGCGTGTGGGTACGTCTCCCTCTCAATTCCAAAATTGAAATTAAGAATTCTTATAGCAATTTTGTTGAATATTTGAATACAAGGTTACACTACACAGACAGAAAGAAATCCCTAAGATCTTCTTCTTCTTGTAAGAATCTTCATTTGATATGAGCCCTATCAAGATTCCCTGTAAAATCCACAACCGATCATCCTCTTCCACGACCTGTTTGCAAAAATCCCTCTAACTTCCAAATCCCTCGCTACGGTTGAATCTGACTTGTGCGACCGTGACTAACAAATCCTCAAGAACACGTCCGTTCTTGAAGGACAAACCCCTTGGTTTTTCCTCGAAGCCCCCTTCAGAATCTTCAATCCAACTGAGATCCCATGAATGCACAACTGAACGTTATCTCTTGATCTCTTGATCCAATTGAACAAAGATGTTTGATTTTTGTTGTTGTTGTTGAATTAAGATGATTGAGAAGATGATGAAGATGAAGTATCTTTCAGGCTTCTTGCTGTTCAGAATTGATGCTCACAATTGTAATAAATGTGTCATTTATTTGCTGCTGAAAAACTTACTTATATATGTAACAGAAAACGGTTAGAGACAGAAATTCGTATTATGAGTTGATGCATGTTAGTATGAGTCGACTCATGTTAGTTATGTAACACAAAATGAGTCGATACATGTTGTTATGAGTCTATGCAAGCAGATATTACAACATATTACAGAACTAACCATTTTACATGAGTCAATGCATAACACGTATGTGTCGATACATACTGGATTGAACTTTTGATTTTTGAAGACAGAACGTGTTATGAGTCGATGCATGATGTTATGTATCGATGCATAAAAGTTAAAAAAATGTTTTCCAGGGACATCAACATATCATGTGTCGATGCGTGAAGTTATGTATCGATGCATAAAGGTTGAAGATTGTATTCCAGGGGCATCAACATGTTATGAGTCGATGCACATGCGTCGACTCATACTGAAGCATAATCGTTTTTATGATTCTTTGTTTAAGTATGCATCGATACAAAGAAGTTTGTGTCGACTCATAACAGTGTTTTATGTGTAAAATACATTCTTAACTCATTTTAAACATGTTATATTTTTTTTTTTACAATGCACACGTGTAGGTAAACCGTTTTTAACATTAATTAATTATTTCACATATATTTGCTATCATTCAAAACCAATTATATGAAGGGGTTGCTCACAAACTCCCCCTTTTTTATGATGGCAAATATTTGATGATGTGTGATGATACAATATGGATGAATGAGTTACTCCCCCTGAGTTTGTGCATATTAAGAATCCTTTTCTATTGATCCTCAGGTTTAGGTACTACTGCACCTGCATCATTCCTCATGGTAATTTGAAAAGGACCATTCTAAATTGTAGTCCATACATTCTTGTCAATGAAATTTATATGTACTCGTATGCAGTCTTTCCAGTAGCCATAGTTTTCACCATTAAAACAAGAGCTTTATTATACGCCCCATTTGGTACAAAGGCCATAGCGTTACTAGTAGACATAAAGCACCAGCTAACCGAAACTCTGATACCACTTGTTAGACGGTGTGGCAAGTTATCAAGAGGGGGTGAATAGATCATCTCCCTTTTTTTAAGGATTTAAAATCTTTTATCAAAGTTTGTTAAAAGCAGCGGAAAAGTAAGATCCAGAATCAACTTCCGTCTATTTTGAATCAACTACTAAAAAATCGGATATGCGATAAACTTGCTGGATTTTATTAGTATGAAATAGATGAATCTTAAACACATATTACTTAACGTTTTTAATGCACTTATCACAAGAACAATGTTTTCAATGAATTAAAACTTGTAAGCAATTTTGTCAAACGGTTGACGTATGCTTGTTTGATGATTAATAATGGTGATTTGATGAAAGTATTTGAACCATTATTTTATCATTAAACAGAAAATTCAGAAAGCTAATTGAATCACAAAATTGCGGAAAATGTAAAGAGATAGAGAGAAAGAAAAAAACAATACGCAGGCAGTTTGGTAAGGAAGTTCCCCATTGTCGTCCTTGTTGAATGTTTGAATACAAGGTTACACTACACAGACAGAAAGAAATCCCTAAGATCTTCTTCTTCTTGTAAGAACCTCTACTTTATATGAGCCTTATCAAGATTCCCTGCAAGATTCACAACTGATCCTCCGCTTCCACGACCTGTTTGCAAAAATCCCTCTGATTTCCAAACTGCTCGCTACGGCTGAATCCGAATTGTGCGACCGTGACTAACAAACCCTCAAGAACACGTCCGTTCTTGAAGGACAAACCCCTTAGTTTTTCCTCGAAACCCCCTTCGGAATCTTCAACCCAGCCGAGATCCCTTGAATGCACAGCTGAATGTTATCTCTTGATCTCTTGATCCAATTGAACAAAGATGTTTGATTTTCGTTGTTGTTGTTGTTGAATTAAGATGATTGAGAAGATGATGAAGATGAAGTATCTTTTAGGCTTCTTGCTGCTTAAAATTGATGCTCACAATTGTAATAAATGTGTCATTTATTTGCTGCTGAAAAACTTACTTATATATGTAACAGAAAACGGTTAGAGACAGAAATTCGTATTATGAGTCGATGCATGTTAGCATAAGTCGACTCATGTTAGTTATGTAACACATAATGAGTCGATACATGTTGTTATGAGTCAATGCAAGCAGATATTACAACATATTACATAATCAACCATTTTACATGAGTCGATGCATAACACGTATGTGTCGACACATACTGAATTAAACTTTTGACTTTTGAAGACAAAACATGTTATGAGTCGATGCATGATGTTATGTATCGATGCATAAAAGTTCAAAAATATTTTCCAGGGACATCAACATATCATGTGGCGATACATGAAGTTATTTATCGATGCATAAAGGTTGAAGGTTGTATTCCAGGGGCATCAATATGTTATGATTCGATGCATATCATGGATGTGTCGACACATACTGAAGCAAAATCGTTTTTATGATTCTTTGCTTAAGTATGCACCGATGCAAAGCTGTTTGTGTCAACTCATAACAGTGTTTTATGTGTAAAACACATTCTTAACTCATTTTAAATATGTTATACTATATTTTTTTACAATGCACACATGTAGGTAAAGCATTTTTAACATTCATTAATTATTTCACATATATTTGCTATCATTCAAAACCAATTATATGAAGGGGTTGCTCACAAAATTGTCTAGACTTATCTAGCCCATGGGTGGAAACTTTGATTTGGTGTAGAAAAATACCTTCAACAAACCAAGCCGGATATATTGCCATTCATATGCATTACAGAGTGACCTATAAACAATAATGTCATAGCTTTAAGATTTTAATATAAATTTATTTTGAAACATTATTATTTTTTATTATAGCCAATAATGACATAGCTTTATGATTTAAAATAAATGTTTAAATAATTTTGTGTTTTTTCTGTTTATTTCA